AGGCAGGATTTGAACCTGGAGCCCATGCTGGTTACTGACACTTCCCCGATCAGGGCTCTGAGTTGTTCCTACCTCTCTCAGATGACTCCTTTTTCAGCTCTGCCTGCCCTGGGGTGGAGGCTCCCCGACACTGTGGACACAGAGCCCTCTCTCACCCGGGACTCTCCTTGTCCTGCCTAAGGCATCATGGGACCGCGGGTGTGGTCCCCACCTGCCCCTTTACCGCCTATAGGTTCCGGCCACGGGGGCCAGGGCACAGTTGACGCTGGGGTTCGACAGTGTGGGGGCTTTCCCCTGGCTTCAGTTTGAACATCTTACAAAACGCTTATCACATATAATTTCTATAATCATGTTTTAACAATATCACTAGGAAAAATCTCAGACCTCAGAAAAGGTTTGGAGAATCATTTAGCCAACACGTGACTTTCTATCAAAGAATGAAAACATCACAAATGCAGGTAGCGTATTCACAGAGTATTTATCGAGCACCATCTGGGTACCGGGACTTGCTCTGGGACCCGGTGATGAAATAAAAGGCACACGGTTCAGGTGGCCAGGTAGTGAGAAGAGTAACAAAGGTGATAAAACAAAGTGATGCCCCATCCTGCCCAAGGGAGGGGTCTGTGGGCAGAGGACTGGCTGTTTCTCCCATGAAGGTAAACTCCACCGGCTCCACGACCCAGCAATCCCACTTGTATCAGTTAGCTAATGCTGCATAACAAAACATCCCACAACCAGTGGCTGGAAACAACACACACGTATTACAACTGCTGTGGGTCAGGAATCCAGACACAGCCTCCTGAGTTTCCTTCTTTCAGGGTCTCTCACAGGCTGCCATCAAGATGTCGGCCAGGGCTGGGGCGCCTGGGTGGCTCAGTCGGTTAAGTGTCCGACTTCGGCTCAGATCATGATCCCGCGGTTCGTGAGTTCAAGCCCCACAGGGGGCTCTGTGCCGACAGCTCGGAGCGTGGAGCCTGCTTCGGATTCTGTGTCTCCGTCTCTCTCTGCCCCTCCCAGACTTGCACTCTGTCTCTCTCAAAAATGAATAAACCTTAAAAAAAATTAAAAAAAAAAAAAAAAGACGTTGGCCAGGGCTGGGGTGTCATCTGAGGCTCAGGGGGGAAGTGGGGACAAGGTGTCTGCCCCCAGGACTGTGGGGAGGACTGAATCCGCGTGTATTTGGAGCTGTCCCAAACAAGTGCATGCTGTGGGCAGGCTTAGAAAGGTAGCAGGGCTACCTCAGCAGCACCCGGGCACCCTGGACCTGGTAGAGCCTGGGATGGGGGGTGTGGAGTGGGGTGCTCTCCAGGCGGTCTGGACGTGGGGACACCGGTCTGTGCCCCTGACACCCACCGGTCCCTCTTCCCGCAGAAGCTTCCCCGAGTCCGTGAGCACCAAGGGCCTCTGACCCAGCTGTGGGGCCACCCGCCTCGGTGGCAGCCGATCTTCTGTGTCCTGCGGGGGGATGGCCGCCTGGAGTGGTTCAGCCATAGGGAGGTAAGGAAGCGGCTCTCCTCCCTTCCCTCCTGGCCTCGCCAGGCCACGCTCCTCGGCATGGGTTCTGGGGTCCAGCTCCCAACATGGTCCTCTCTCCTGTCTTCAGTCACCTAGTATGAATTGAGGGTCCCTATGAGATGGGCCTGGGGTGGGCAACCACCCCCCGCTGGGCTGGGTAGGAAAACCGAGGTCCAGGCCAGGAGTCGCGACTTCCTCATGGTCATCAGCAGAGCTGAGGTTGCAACCGAGAGGCCTTCGCACATCACGCCTGGCTGGGGAGCTCGGGCAGGTCATTTGTGCTCCTGGGACTCAAGTTTCCACCTCAGTGAAATGGGTTGGTGCTGGTCCACGTCATATGGGGCTGTGAGGATTCAAGGAGATAACCTTCGTATATTATTTAGGACTGGCCTAGCACCCAGTGGGTACTGGGTGCTCGACTACAGGGGAGGGAGGGAGGGAGGAGGGGTGGGGGACTTCCCTAGCTA